TAGAGACTATTGTCCTCTTTTTCAGATGGAAGAACCAGAGCTTAGAGAGGTAAAGTAACTTGTTCAAGACCATATAGCTAGTCAGTAAGCTATATTTGTCTTAAGTTCAAAGTTTTTAACTACCAGGGTAATATACTGTCTCATTACTTCCCTGAGTGGGAAACTATGGTCATTTTGATGAAGCAATTACTAGTTTTTGTTTTTTCCTCAGTTTGGCCATAGCAAGGCCATATGAACTTGATAAATCTTATCCTGTGTCTTCATCTGTAAAAAGAATGGGCTGGGTCAAATTACGTTTTCCCCTTGGTAGTGGAAGTAATGTTTTATTTCTGAAGGCAAGAGTGTGAGCTTTATATTTAAAAATTTTTAATTCACCTACTTTTTCTGAGTGCTTCTTGAACTAGATCTATGTTAGGAACTCTGATAAAATTAAATATATACAAAGATAAAGATATATTTCTGCTTACCATGTTATGGAGAAACAAACAAACTGAATTATTAGTTTGCAGAATTAGAAGTCTAGAGAGCAGTAGCCTTCAGGAGCACTATAGCGACCAGCTCAATCATATCATCAAGGGTTTTTTTCTCTGTTTGATAATTACTTTTGTGGAAATCTGGGTTATAGGCTGACTTGTTCAGACCTGATAGGAAAGAAATCCTCTTCCCTAACTATGTTCTAAAAATCTTTCCCTTTAGTCTGATTAGGCCAGTTTACTCCAGGACTATAATGGTTTCCAGGTGTTTTAATTAGAATAGTGCAGGTAGCATAACTTATTTTCTAGGTCATACTGCAGTAAAAAAAAAAAAAAAAGAAAAAAAACCTCTCCAAATATTAGTGGCTTAAACAACAAAGGTGTATTTATCACTCAAACTATCCATCCAGACTTGATGAGGGTGAGAGGTGGGCTTTCTACATTGTCCTTTCTTGGGGACCGAGGCCAACAAAGACTTTTTCGTCTTCAACAATACTGGTCTTGAGGCTGTAGCAGAGTAAACACTGTAAGGACTTATACTTGCAATTAAATGTTTTACCTGGAAGTGACACCTATCACTTCTACCCACAACCCACTACAGATTAGCGACTATAACTAGTCACATGGCCCAGCCAGCTACAAGGGAGGGGGTGGTGGCAGGGATGTATGTGTGAAAATGTAACCTCTGTATATGTCTGAAAACACAGGGTAAGCATTACAAGTCTCTGTCATTTACTGATTGACTCAGGAGGTTACTTGAGTTGCCCTTTTGTAGCTGGAGGTTGGATGGTTACTTAAAACAAACAAACAAAAACAAATAAACAATTCTATTAATAAGGAAAAATTAGGAGTGGATGTTGAATAAGAAATCAATAGTGTGAACTATATGATACTTTATCCCAAAGGAGAAGAAATTTCAGCCATGGGGGCAAATCAGAGGGAGGGATAGTTTGGCTAGTTTCATCAGCCTCTAAATCAATCACTTCATTTACTCTTCTGATTGGAAAGATTGGCTCTGGCTCTTTAATGAGTGGGAATAGATAGACAATTTCTACTTAAGGAGTTGGCTCAAAACATTTATTGAATCTGAAAATATAGGCTGTTTCCCCATATTTCATTGTTAGTCAAGCTAGCTAGATTTATAGTTTAGTAAAATAATTATAGTTGGGTAAAATAATTTTCTTAAGGTCATACTTTCTTGTATGTAGCAATAACAGTGCTGTCCTTTGGATGTTCACAACTTTGGAAATGTGATAGTGTTCAAGTTCATTAATTTTCATCTAGCTAACCTCTCAATAAAATGGCTGCTCAGGTACTCAACTTTCATTTTGATATTTTCCACTTTCTAACGGTTGACTCTTTCTTGTCCCATTGGCAAGATCCCTGAAGCTCTGGTTGATGATTAAGAATTTGATGCAGGCAGTGCAAAAGAATATGATGTACTTAGAAATTTCTATTAATTCCCAGTATAATGTCATAAAGAATGTCCTGTACAACGTCTCGCTGAGCAGAACTTGTCTTTATAAGTTTTTGCATAAGCAAAGATAGGCCTAAACCCTCCTTGGTTAGGGGAGGGGTGGAGGAAGTGGTAGAACACTTCTACTTTCTTAAGCAAATATCTGAAACTAGGAGTGATGTGAGGCACAGGCAGGCACCTGGGGTGAGAAGAGTGAGAGGGCCCAGCAACAGAGAGGGAGGCTGGAGCTCGTGGGGAAAACACACTTTGACAGAGATGTGTGCTGGTGGCCTGTCATGTATGGAACCTTTTGGGGACACTTTCTTTCTCAGAAATTGAATCTTTCAAGAGAAAGGCAGAGTTTTAGTAATATTCCTCTCTGGATAGAGTAAAAGAAATGTGTTTTTTAAAAAGCTGGGACTGCTGTGAATTTTCTGTAAATTCATTATTGGCCTGGAACTTAACGTGTCAAGATTGTTCTCAAAAGTCAGTTGTTTAACTGATACTTCCAGTTCTAAGGTGGCAGCTAAATCCTGGGTGTGTCCTGCAAAGGGCTCTGATTAACAGTGTCACAGGCTGAGAAGCACATTGATTCAATAGAGCACAATTGGAATCGCTTTAGATCTAGTTTCTGAGTACATTCTAGAGACACTAGTTATTTGGCATTTTAATATATATTATACTGTACTATAAAAACGCACTAAGTCTTGGGCAAACATTCCCTTGGGCAGATTTTTTTTTTTTAATCCCTAGGTTTCTGAAAAGGAAAAATGAAGACCAGATAAAAAAACTGGATGTTTTGAGGCAAATGTAAAGCTTTGAACTTGGAGATCTGGAAGTATTCTACAAGGTAAGCTTTAAACATGCTAAAATTCTTTAAAAAGTAAATATCTACCTTACTCCTGACTTCTAAAAATTATCCAGAGTACAACTGATAAGACTTTGGCCTTTAATCCATTTTACGATGGCATAAGCCTAAAATTTCTGCCCATTTCCAGCACCCATAGCCTGCAGCCCTTATAGCGGACTTCGGTTGTTTATAACCTCAGTGCTGCACCGGCCGCGGCGGAGGGCAGCAGCCAGGCATTCAGGAAATGATTGCTGAGCGGTGACTAAGCTGAGCTTAAGTAATCCTGGCGCTGCCAGTGTATTTTCTGACCTTAGACTAGTCACTCTACTCTTTTCTTAATATTCTCTTCTTACAGGGAGTTCCTAATAAAAACAACTGTAAACTACTTCGTGAAGAGCTTTTTGTTTAAAGGGCTGCTAATAAATACCGGAGTCACAAGGTCTCACAAACCTCCCCCAGAAGCTGAGCTTCTTGAGGGATAGGGAACTTTTTTCTCCTTTGAATCAGCAGGATCTTATTTGTGTTTCTGCAGTACAGCTCCCGCCCGGCCTGTAACAATGTCTAGGTAAATACTGGACGTTAGGAACGTTATTAGGCAGATTACAGTCTCGGCAGGCCACTGCCTCTTCAATCTCTTTTCTGTGATCCTTTTCACACTCAGCATCTAAAAGGCCGCCGCTATTTGCTCTAGGATATGTACCCAAGGCATTTCCTTAAAAAATACCCAAGTCTAGAGAAATAGTTCTTCTGTCTTTAGGGCACCATTTCGCTTTTTCCGCGGCGCCGCACCTCAGGCTCGGGATCTGGGTCCCGAGCCACAGGGAAGAGTTGGGTAAAGGAAGCTCATCTTCCCGCCCTCTGATAGGCCGGCTCGCACTCCACTCACGCAGCTCGCGCCTCTGATTGGCCGGCGCGGCACCCCACTCGGCCCGCGATTACTTTGTGTACCGGGGCAGCGCGCTCGGGTCCTTGGTCTCAGCTCGCCGGCTGGGCTGGTGTGCGCTAGCTCTTCGGCTCACTGCTCTGCACCGCGGGCGTCAGGGATTTTCCGAGTCCGAGCGGGTAGGAAGCATCCTAAGAAAAAGCCCCCCCACCCCTCCGTTCCTTGTTCTCTTTCCCGTGCAGAATAAACTTCCGCCTCACAGGGGCTGTCGCAGCCGCGGGTCGGGGGAGAGGCCAGGCGTCGAACTCAGGCCTTCGTGGGGGATCTTTATGTCCGGCGAATGTGGAAACACAGTTCTCACAAGATAAAGCAGGGCTTGGCCAGTCTCATGTGGGTGCGTGCCATTCTGTGTTCGCGTTGCAAGCTGCAGCCGGGCCGCAGCCATCACCGCTAACAAGTGGCAAAGAGCCTGCTTCCAGTCTCCAGTACCAGTGCTCCTTGGGGCCGCGGCTGAACTGGTGTGGGCCAGTCCGTCCCTGCGGTCGGGAGTACGGAATTCCCCGGAGGTGGCGCTCCCGGGAACCGGGAGCTGGCTAGACTGGCGCCCCCTCAGCCTCCGGCCTTCAAGCGGTAGAGGGCGGCCTACGCTCGTGTTGGAGCCGGCGCCCGCGCGCGCAGCGGCTGCGCTGCTGGAAGTCTCCCGGTCCCGCTGTGGCCCGCGGCTCTTCCTAGCCGTGGATGCTGCGGCGACGCTGTGCAAGGGCGCAGCGAAAAGGGGGCGGGGAGAAGCCCTGGCACATGCCAGGGTCGCCGTAGGTGGCAGGGACCGGCGCATGCGCGCCCTCTCCCAGAAGCCTGGAACGCGGAGGGGCGCGCGCCCCCACTCGCGCGCGCACGCCTGTGCTATCCTGGGTTTCCCCGCCTGCTCTCGTTGTCAGAGCCGCTCCGGCGCGTGCGCGCGTTATCTCCGGCCGACCGGAGTGGCCGGGTTCCCTC